TATATATATATATATATATATATATATATATATATATATATATATATATATATATATATATATATATATATTCAAATTGATTAAAAAATATTCAAATTATGTGACTTAATAATTAGTTTTTTCAATAATTACTCATCTTGTTATGATTTTTCCTCCAAATTGTTTAAACACAAAAACGAAAAGAAAAATGTTTTTTTAACAACTATTTTGATAACTTTTTTACAACAGTCTATGTAGTAATTCGCGATTGTTTCGTTTCAAATATACGAACCAATAAAATAGTGATACATAATCTATTATAAAAAATTGTTAAAAGAAGTTGTTAATATATCATAGTCCAAACGAAAATGCATTTTTTTAGGAGTGAAGAAACTTATGAAGAAAGCATGGGAAGAATGAAGTCGAAAACAATTGTTAAGGAAAAACCAGCATTTTCTAAAATTGAAGAGGGTAGACGTCATGATAAGGTGGGATTGATGTCATGGTGAACACAACCAAAAGGGTCTCTTCTTCATAGTGGTGGTGCAGCTATCATCAAATGTTTGAATATAAGGTTCTTTGAAAACTAAAATCTATACATAAAACAAAAAGAAAATACATCTGTGGAGGGAATATTACAGAAACATCGAAAATAAAAATAAAAAAAGGCAGCAATGGGACCAAAACATACATGCCTGTACCTGTGACCACAATGTGCCCTAAAAAAACAACTCACTCTCTCTCTAACCTTTGCTCATGCCTCACGACAAAAGGTATACCACATCTTAAAGAGAACTTAAAAGCCTTCCATCATGAAGTATGTTAAATGGACGTGCATGAAAAAAAACAAAAACTTCTTTGGAGTTACGACGAAACCGTGTCATAGCATTTTTATAAATTCTTCTTGATTTATTTTAATAAATTTGAAAGTTAGTTTAATAAATGAATTGCCATGTAGTAAAAGCTTATTAGAGTTATAAGTGTAGATGTTCGTGTATCGAGTTCTTTATAGAATGTAATGTTTCGTCGTTATTGTAAAAAATGCCACCGCTAATATCTTTCAATGAATTGGTTGTAGTAAAATTTGTTTCTCTTTCTCTTTCTAAAATTCTTTTAATCTATTAAGAAGTTAAAAAATTCTTTTCAATACCAAGATTCAAAACTACATGAAAAAAATTACAAGATATAAAAAAAAATCAAGGACATAATTTTTTTATATATATACTAATTCAATTCTTTAAAAATTTACATCTAGTTTATCTAACAACCTTAGTTATATTGCCTCCAAATCAAAAGTTTACAGATTATTAGATACACCTATGTAATCTCTACTCTATACAATGAACCTTGAGATAACTCTCAAGAACAAAAACAAAGACCATTTTTTCACAAATCGTTTATACAAATATCACTTAAGCTGTGACAAATTACAAAAGAATGATTAACAGACCAAAATACAAAGTAAAGATAGAAAAAATATATCACCTGATATGAAGATTTTACACTTAAAACCTATGTTAAGCAAGAATCCTTTAAAACACCTCATGAAATCACATGTAGTACTCTAGAAAGAGGAGTTTGAATAATGTTTAAAACTTTTTCACAAAAAAAGTTATAAACTATTTGCATGGATTAGACAATATGCAAATAGTATTGAACATTTAAGGATCTTAAGAAGCATTCAAATAGCCTTTAAAAATAATAACAAGAAAAAAGACTTGTTTTTATACTAGTCTACTAACTTTGAGAAAATTACACGAGTATAATTACTCATGATTTTACACTAGTTCAACAAACTAGATGAGTTTCATCAACTTACTATATTGTTTAACTCGACTGAGTTAAATAACCAAGTATTTTAAATTACTTCTCATTCTACAAAAACAACAAAGTGTTTTTTTATGAAAAAGCAAGTATAGATAATAACTTTCGTACAAATGATATGTTTGTAACACAAATGATATGTTTGTAATACAAAGAATATTTGAAAACGTGTAACAAAGATTTTCTTTTCAAATAAAGCTTTAAATGATGCAAGCGAAAGAGAGTTTTGATAGCGTAAGAGCAATAATGATCATTGATTCTTCTTTCTTCTCTTCATGTGATCCTATTTATATAGGTTTTTTTGAAAAATATTTATTACTCAGTACTTTCGTATGGGTGTATAGCCCTTTTGGTAAGAGTTCATATGTTATGTTGCTTTTCCAAAGACAATTGTATTGCTTGTACATATACAATATTAGACAAAAGGCATTAATGAAACATTCACATAATGTCTTAACATGATTTGAAGAAATTATCCAAATCATAATAAAAAATGAAGGATACGCCATTAATCATCCTCCACTATTCAAAGGAGAATTGTTTAAGCACTAAAAGCAAACAATGATCATTTTCTTTGAATCATGTCATCTTAGCATGTGAGACATAACCTCGTTAGCAATTTAAACTACATGAGTAAAAAAGACTTTGAATAATTTTTACAAAAGGATGAACCACTATAGAGACCAAAATAGGTTTTAAGCTTTTTAATTTAGTTGTATTTTTCTATATGGTTCATAATTGAAGATCAAAGGGAAAATCATAGCTTGTTGGTTTTGTAAGTTCCATCCAACCTTCTAAGAATAATACTCAGTCAAACACACAATGACTGGAAAACTTGTTTTGAAGAATAAAGCTATTATTATAATAAATAAATTTTTGTAATTATAAAAGAAATGAGAGCAAAATAGTCTATGTTTGTTGGTGGTGTAAATATATCATTTCAGTCTAAACCACAGCACGAACTCCTTAACATTGAATGGGGAAACGTAAGTGTGTAGCCTTTAATGATTTACATTTTACTTTTACTTCTGATGGCCAAACTGCTTATGGGAACCGTGTAATTTGCTTGCAGACTTTGCCGGTGACGGTATGAGACTTGCCTTTTAAGCCTGGGCTAATAAATTACCATGCTTACTTTTCTTACCATAATAAAAGTCCTACTAAAAAGATAACCAAAACCATATTATGTAATCCTCTTTTGGACCAACCAGGGAGAAGCACAACAACAGCTACTGGTACAACATAAGGTAAACAGTAAGTATATTTAGAAGAGAAGAAGAAAAGGTGTGAAACTAGAGAGACAAAAAATAAATTAAACTAGAAAAGAAAAGTTAAGAGAGACAAAAACAAAAGAAAGCTAACACTGCAATAGTATGCTATATATTTATAGCTAGATAGATACGGAGTTTCGAAAACTGTGCCACTTGTCAAAAGTAATTGGAAACATCTATTATTTCCTTGTGTGTGTGGCCTTTTCAAGTTGCAACATTTTATAACTATTCTTTTCATAAGAATTTTAGATCATCTTTTGGCACTTTCCAATAAACAAAAATGTCATTACATTATTATAAATCCACGTTAATTGCCATCCTTTAACTTTGAGTCATCAACGTCATGGTGGTGACTATGGATAAATTAAAATACAAAGACAAGAAGTTGCCAAGAAATTAAAGTCACGTATTTTTTATTGTTTATTCTAAGAGAATATGCATTTTGCATCAGATTTGATATATATATTTCATATCTACTTTTGCGCATAACAACAAACATGGAAAGGTATGCGTCCATTTTCCATATTTCTAGAATAACGATTTCTTTGTTGGTTTTCTTGAGAAGGAAAAAATTACTACAGAAGATGGCACGGTGGTGAATGGTTTTGCAAGTTGATGATTACCAAGTTGAAGGGTAAAGACTGAGACCAATAAAACGAATAATTTCAACTTAGTTGATGTTCATAAATGATGACTTGCTATGATTATAATGGCAAGACAAAACCCTGATGATCCTAAGCTCAATTTAGATTAAACTTGAAGTTTGGGTAACCGATGTTGAAGAAACATATTACTGCATGCCCACGTAAAATGAAGGTAATGCTGATCCACTATCTCCTATTGCAAGTTTCCACATCAAAAGGTGAAAGAAATTTCAAGCATTAACCTATAAGCTGTACTTTATTTTATGTTCCTGTGTTGTCGTTTACTCGTGGACCACCTCCACTCCACTACTAGAAAAATATAGATCATGTATATGAACAAGTTCGCCATAACCCCCCAAAAGGATAGGGTAATGAGAACCACACATATAAATATGCATAAACATACACACTACACACTACACACCTAGTTTCAACTGAAACCAAGACACTTATTAGGAGAAGCAAGGAGAGAGAAGAGAGGGGGAAGAGTGTGTTCCAAGACACAATGATTACATGGTGTTGGGGAAGCAGAAAGGGTGGCGTGGACATAGTCACATAGCTAAGAGTATGGAAGAACGTGGGGCTTGACCATGGAAACGCCAAAAGGGAAAGTAAAAATGACCCCCCAAAAGAGGGAAAATGAAGTAAAACAAAAAACAAAATGGAGAAATATATATATATATATATATATATATATATATATATATATATATATATATATATACTATAAAATTGTACTACTAACCCAAAATTAAAAAAATGAAAAAGAGAGAAAAGGTTAAGCTGAGCTTTTTTATCATGATGATAACTGTTCAGCCTTTCTGGTCCTTGGTCGGTCGACAATCTTTGTTGTGTTCACTCTGTTGTTCTTGCTTGTGTTTCCCATCTCTTTCTCTCTCTTACACATAGTGCAATTATACACTTTGAACCAATCGGAAGCAACGAAAAATTAGTGTTACTTTATGAGATTATAGTATATATTTTATGGCTGTAAAACATTATATATTGTAGTTTTTGCTGTGTTAGAAAGATGCCACTCCACAGACAGCCCTGAAAGCTACATGGAATGATATAGATAAAGTTAATGCCGTAGGAAGAAAGGAAAGGGGACTAGCAGTACTCAAACAGGCTCTATATATTTTAGAGTGCAGAGAGAAAAAGAGAGAGCAAAGACCAAACATAAGTCCAAAAAGACACCAACACAAAATAAAGGAAAGCTCTATTGGTGGTAAAGGATAAAAGGGATCATTAGCATACCCTTGTGGCAGAAGTATAAACTTACCAAGTGAAAGAGATTTGATAGAGGGAGAGAACAAAAGGAAACATAGAAAGAAACTGATTGATCGATAGAATTACAAGACCGAACTAGAAGAGAACACAGTCAGTCATTCTGCATCAAAGGGATTAAGGTTTGTGTCTTTTTATAGTTTGATTAGTTCCCTCTTGCTCTTTCTCCTTGTCAATGTCCATGTCATTTTTATTCCTTGAGGAAATGAAAAAAATATGAAATATTCTTCTCGATACCCTTTTATCTTTCAGCTCTTGCTCCCTTTTTTCTAGTATTAGACAAAACAGAAAATACCTTAACCTTTCTGACTTTTGAACCCTTAAATCTTCTTCTGTTCACTCCATCACATATAAAGCTTTGGAGTTTGGATTCACATCAGAGGGAGATGAAAAAGGAATTAGATGATCAAGGACAGTGTTCCTCTCAACCAATCAACAACAATAACAACAACAATATTCAAAGCTACCAAGAGCACCTTCTCCTTCAACAACAGATGCATCAGCAGCAGCAGCAGCAACAAAATAGTGACAACATCTTCGGGGGTTCAAGAGGGTTAATGTTCCCTGAAGTTACTCCAATCATGCAACCATGGTCCATCCCTCCGGTTCACTCATTCAACCCGGGTCCGGTTCACTACAACAATATTAACACCAACCCTGTCAGAGACCATCATGACCAAACGTTTATAGTCCCTCCCACACCTTCACCCTATGCGAGCTTCTTCAGCAGAAGGGTCCCTTCTCTTCAATTTGCATACGAGAGTCCTTCTTCTGATCTCCACCATCTAAGGATCATATCTGACACCCTCGGACCTATGGTTCAACCCGGTTCAGCACCCTTTGGACTCCAAGCCGAGTTGGGAAAAATGACTGCTCAAGAAATCATGGAGGCTAAGGCTCTTGCTGCATCAAAGAGTCACAGTGAAGCAGAAAGAAGACGTAGAGAGAGAATCAACAACCATCTTGCCAAGCTTCGGAGTTTATTGCCAAACACTACAAAAGTAAGTGTATTCAATACAAGATCTTCAATACTATTAATTACTAACTAATATAATTCTATAATAGTTATTATAAAATAACGAGTTTAACATATATATAATGTGATTGTTTGACTTTGCAAGACCTTTCACACATCATGCATAAACTATTTGTTCGTATGTCTCTCAATAAAACACATGCATGAAAATGTAAACCCAGAGTTTCAAATATTATTGCTGTTTTTTGATTAATAGAGTCATTCCTAACTAAAAAAGACATCATCATGTCATTTCTAATTTAAAAGGACAACAAAACTGACAAAACCTCGTATGAAATCACCTAACATGCCTTCCTTATCAGAGACCTGAGAGTATATAATAGGAGAATTTTCAACATGGTGCATTTTTTAACCAAAATGGCATATAAAAAATAGGGTGCATGCAAAAGGTCTTGTTTGTTTCTCTTACTAACCTGCGTTCTTTGGCTTTCCATGTTCTTATTTTGTTTAAAGCGATAGCAACATTTTCATACATACTTACATGAGATAACAGATTTTAATTAACAAAAGACATGTTTGAAAGAACAAGCATGACATATATGTTTATTGTTTTTAGCTTACTTGTTTTGGTATGACTGTGTGTGTGTGTGTGGAAGTTTCAGACGAGTTTAATAGTAAAAAGGGTGATTAAAGATGACAGAAAGGTATTAGTGTTAAGGTAGGTTGTTGATGCAATAAAGAGGAACCAAGCAGCAGTTGAAAAAGCTACACATGGAAATTTCTTGCCGGGTATTGTCATCGGTCAAACTCAGCTCGATAATGATAAAGAAATAAAGCCAGAGAGACAAAGTAGCACCCTTTTCAGGCACACACACATGCACCCACTCACTATTCTATATACCTATCTATCTCATCTCATCTTTCTCTCTATCTACACATGCTGCATGCCACTTCCACCATTCAAAATACCCCCACTACTTCCATTTCATAATCATCAAGCTACACCCCTACCTACCTCAACTTCCACACAATCCCCTCAACCTCTTTTCAAACATTGCACAACTTCCAACCTTTGCTATTAATCATGAGAGAATGTTAGCACTGATTACTGTCTTTAAAATATTCATTATTGCTAAAATATGTTACCAATTTGTACTTTATCATAACCACAAATATTTATCTATACACTTTAACTGTGATTTTTAACGATAAAAAACCATTTATTTACGGCTGTTTATCAACAAATTAGTTTTATTCTCTTATTCACTGATCATTACCCAGTAAAGTAGTTGTTAGTGAGCCTCTAATGTATTATTCTGTTAGAAAAGTTCATTATGTCACTAATATTTCACAATTTACCCTGAAAGAAAAGATGTTTGCTTTGTGCAGTTCAATCTTATATATAAAAAAGTTGTCTTGACAAGTTTTGATTATGTTGTTGCAGACAGATAAAGCTTCGCTGCTAGCAGAAGTGATTCAGCACGTGAAGGAGCTGAAGCGGCAAACCTCTCTGATAGCAGAAAGCAGTGCAGTGCCAACCGAGGCAGACGAGTTGACAGTAGATGCAGCAGACGAAGATGGAAAGTTTGTGATCAAAGCCTCACTGTGCTGTGAAGATAGATCAGATCTCTTACCCGACCTCGTAAAAACGTTGAAGGCCTTGAAGCTGAGAACCCTCAAGGCTGAGATCACATCGCTTGGTGGGCGTGTGAAGAACGTGTTGGTCATTGCTGGTGACGAAGAAAGTTCAAACACCAATGGAGAACAAAGCATTCAGCAGCAACAACAACAATACTGTATTACCTCAATACAAGAAGCACTGAAGGCAGTGATGGAGAAGAGTGGTGGTGGAGATGAATCAGCTTCTGGGAATGTTAAGCGCCAAAGGACTAATAACATCAATTTTCTTGAACAAAGATCTTTGTAATTGTTCCGAGGTAACACTAACACAACACTTTTTGTTGCTAAGGTTTTGATGTCAAAAGATGTTGTTGTCTGTGAAAAAACAAAAGGATGATCATGGATACTCTAATTCTTTAATCCTACAATAGGATCTTCTCCTATTTTAGAGTCAAAATAGTTTATAAATTTTTTCTTTCCAACATGAAATTTAAAAACAAAAAACAGTAAAATTAATTAAATAAAGACTTATAATATATATTTTGATTGTCTGGCTTAAATATCTATATAGTATTATATTTTTTGATGTTATTCTGCATGGTCATGATGAAGTGATGAGGTAATGGTATAATGTGGTTTTGTACATGTACTTGTTTGCTTGTGCTGAATCCAAAGAGAGACAAAAGGGGTGGAGTTGGTTAAGGAAAGGAACAGAGAAGGATCTTTTTCGTGGGAACAGAAACCTTATATTGAATCCTAACATGGAAAATGATGCATTGATTGCTCTGTAAGAAGAAAATGAAAATGGCATCTGCATTAAATTCAAACATACACACACTATGTCTGGTGCAGCAACTGCTAGGAGCTGTCATTGTTTTGTTATGAAGTATATGTTTGTTTGTTTTATTGTCTTCACTCTCTGTATTCAGAAAGAGGAGAGAGTGTACCCTTGCATCTCATCATGACTTTCAAGGAGCACATCACCAAATTTTTTATATGATGAATTATACACATCAACTTCTATATACATCTAACATCATTTCATTTTTGTTTTTATAAATTGTATAAATGAAAATAAATAATATATTATTTTTTAAATTTAGTAAAATATTAGTTATTTCATTAAATTTTATAGTATAAATAATATAATAGTATAAAGCTACAATTTATAGATTAAATCCACAACTTATTAAATGTTTAATGTTTAAAAGTTATATTAATATGATTAAGCTATTTTATATGTTCTAATAGAAATACATATATTTACTACCTTCTTTTGTAATAAAGGATTAATTATTATAATAACTCAATAAAAATTTATTTTTGAAATTATGAAAACCTTCTTAACAAAAGAAGTTATATAATAAATTAATTTTTATAATTTTGTTGTAAGTAATTTTTTCCATAATGAAATGAGGTTAATTGAGTTTAGAAAAGAAAATAATAAAAACAAATATGTATATAAAAAAGAAATTACAAAATTGTAAACAATTATGGTCACATGCCTACACACACATATATATATATATATATATATATATATATATATATATATAGAGAGAGAGAGAGAGAAATTAAAGTGATATTATTGTTAATTAAATTTAATCAATTTTTATGCATAAATTATTTTAATTTCGTACCTCCTCTTTTAATTCTTTTATCAGTATCAATCACACTCAATCCAAAATTCTGTGGAGCAACTATTGGAAAACTAAAACTATTTCAACTAAAAACATTAAAATAAAAAAGTTGTATACTCATATTTTAACTAATTTATTTTAAAAAAAATGATAAACATGGATCTTGATTTGTAATTGTAGAATTCTATCATTCTATAGTAATTATACTTCAATATCTGATCTCTATAATTTGAGAGAATTTGATTATAGTTAATTGTACAGAATTTTTGAATCAAATATGTGTTAATATTAGACTCGAACAATTTCATAATATTTGGTTGGTACCTTGATTAAGTTTAGTATAATTTTATATGCTCTTAATTACAAAATATAAGTTACACAAATGATAGTGATCTAAGATTAGAAGAGATGTATTTTATTACAATGAAAAAAAATTAGACATTAAAATTTTCTTTATACTCTATTTAATTTTTGTTAAGAAGAAAATTTTAATTTCATGGAAAACAATTGATAGATAGCATTTTCTAATATTTTTATTTAGAAAAATTTAACACGATAAGATTGACTTTGCAATAATCAATCAATATATAACTTTACATTAAAGGAATTTAAATTTTTGAAGAAATGTTGGAATGATAAACATTTTAGGAGATACGTATCTCTTTTAGAAATTTTATGGCTTTCGATTATCAAATGGGAGATATATATCACATATGCTTAAAATAATTTAATCTTGGATCTAAGTTTTAGAGTGTATATTAATAAGTTAACAATCTATTAGAATTGAATCCATAAGGTTAGAAAATCTTTTTGATTATTAACTCATAACTAGCATTCGTTGTATATACTCGGTTTAAAAGCAGTCCAATATCTTTAGCCTAAAAGCTGGTTACGTACGTACCCAAATGATGGAAGGCTCATTATAATAACCTGAAATATTGGGAAGACATGAAATTATAATTTATTTATCAGATATTATTCGCAAATATAAATACTGATTTAAAATGTCTATAAATAAATTATTATCTTATTCAATACTAATATCATTTTAAATTTTTACATTATTCATCTATTCTTGCTCACACGTAAAAGAGTTTTTATAAGTGGAATTTCCCTTCGCTTCCATAGATGAGACCAAGCTTCGTCTTGCCTCAAAGATTCAAACATTGGAAATATTTCATCCACACTAGTGTTAGTACTGTTAAAATGGGTCACTTGATCCATTTCGGACCGGTCCACCGCAGTTTGATTACTTAATGAGCTAACCCAATAAATAATTTTATTCTAAAATGATGTTAAATGTGCAAGACAATTCAAAATAAAAAAATTTAGCATACAACTTAAATATAATCCAAAAACAACCCAAAAAGCGAATAAATAAGTTTATAATATTGAAAATTTTTGTGTGACTTATCCATTTATAAGATTAGAGTCTTGAATGGATAAATTTATAATATTTTGCTCTCTTGAAACATATTTTTCTCTATTCCTATTTACAATACAATAAAAAAATGTTAACTAATAATATTGAAACAGAAAATAATAAATAATTAAATTAAACTAGGTGGGTTGGTGAGCCAACTCGGCTCACCCCTCACCACGGGTTCAACTCGGGTGAGTCGGGTTGAAAATTGACCCATATAAAAAATTTTCATTTTTTTCAAACCCAATCCAGCTCGAACCCATGGTGGGCCAGGTTGGCCAACGGGTTCTAACCCATTTTGACAACACTAACTAGTGTAAAAAATATTTTTTATAACTATTATTGGTTATAATCCACCAGGTATAAAATTGGGACGATGGCATTATAGTAAATAAGATAACATTTTTATATCAGGTATAGTTATAACATGTGTAGAAAGTAGATGCAATGACATTTTTATAATAAAGAAGAAAACTTTATATACGATTATAACCTATAACAGGTATAAAACACAGACGTGGTGACATTTTTTTAATAAATAAGAAAACTTTCTATATCGATTCTAATTATAATTGGTATAGAAAGTGGTTTTTAATTCATCTCTCGTAGACATATGATGAGTGCATATTTATGCTTTCATTTATCCTTTAATCTTGGACTCTTAATTGGTTTTATACTTTAAAAGAATATTTTAATTAAGATTTGTTATAATTGAGTTTATTGGGTATGAAATATGTTGTAATCTTTCGTTTTATCTTTAACAAATAGGATACATATTTTTGTTGTCGCTTTATGGGTGGTAATGGTTGTACATGGATAATTGCTTGATTTGCATGTAGAAATAAACAAGTGGGACCACCATACGTACTAGTTTGCAAGTGGGACTACCATTGGTACTATTTTTGTCGAAACTTTTAATTCCCTTTCATTTATGTGGCAACATTGGCCACTCTTTTTCTTTATATTATTCTTTTACCTCTAAATTCTATTTTATGTTATGAGACGATGATAACTTTTTGGCAAGTATACCAAATCGTTCCAAGTAATACAGTGAATAAGTAAAAGTATCGTCTCCCAAGGGACTTGTGCAACACATGACAATTCTTCCTTTTATAACTCAATTAGACATCAAAATGCACAAAACAACACAAGAAACTATTTTTGGTATTTTATCAAACAGTTGGTGTGCAAGAAATTTATATTTAAAAGAAACTTCGTTGGAATTGGGTTTCATGAATCATATGAAGATAAAACTCTGTACAATATATCATTATTTCATTCAAACATTCACATCAAGCCATACTAGTCCTAATCCCTTAGCAACTAGTTCTAAATTAATATATCAAAATGTTAATCCCTTAGCCAATTTAATATACAATTTGCATTAAGTCCGATGTTAAGAATGATCAAGTTATTGAGTCTATCCCTAGATCCCAAATCATTTAAGTGCTCTATCTACGTTCGTTCATGTTCAAAGTTACTTTCCAGTAATCAAAGACATTAAAAGAACGTTATATTTTCATACAATGATAATAAATTCAAGAAAGAGCATATGAACAAACAACGATATATTGAGCAGGAAAATTACAGTGAGTTCATTACATCCAATCCCAACGAAAGAGAAATTTAACTACTCCTAATCATCTAAAACGTACACATTTGAAGCAATCCCTTGCAACAATGGTGTCTTGATGCCTTGAAGTAGTCTCCGGAAGTTCCTGAGATGTTTTCGTTTCTTTCTTTTGTCTGGAACTTCTGTTCGAAGGCATGTTTCTGTCGCTCTGTCACGTCTTTTAAAGCCACTTAAATTCATTAATTCGCTTAGCGCACATGTACTGGTGCGCTATGCGAATTTTCTTAACTGCTGTATTTTAACTAATGTTATTCGCTCAGCGCACAGGTACTGGTGCGCTATGCGAATTTTCTTTTTCTGGCAGTGCGAATTTTGGCTTTCGCTTTGCGAAAACTGGCTGACAGAGTCTAAATAATATATCATTTCCTGTACAATATTTTACATAACAATCTACTACCTATTACAACTTTTCAACGAGGAACAACATGAAAAATTACAAGATTGAGTTCATTTATAAGTATAAAAACAACTCTTTTTCACACTTATCAGACGAAGGGTAACATTAGAGTGAATATTGAGTTTGGGAGATATGCTACTGGTAATTTTTTTCTGTTTTGATTTATACATTTCCAATTTGTTAGTCATTTCTTTTGGTTTTTGTTTAGTTGTTGCTCATGTTGTGAGACACATATTTTTGAAATAATTCAAAAACACCTAAACAATATAAAATTTTCAAAAATTAAAAATTAATATCTTTTCAAATGGATTTTTAGGAACTAAGTGAATCATGATCTTCTATTGTGAATGAAATACGTAAGAGCGAGGATTAATTCTTGTTGAACCCTTAAATTTAAAAAAAATACTTTTTTTTATATATTTGTATTATTTTGGAGAAAATTAAATATTTTGTAAACTCACATTTAATTAAAAGTACCACCTTCAAGCAATCATTATTGGGTGCTAACACCTTTCTTACGCATAATAACTAACCATCGATGTCAAGGTTTTCTGCTAACACCTTTCTTACTAGTTTGTTTTATTTGTGTTTGTGTTTATTATGTTAGAACACTCATACATTTGTTTGTTTTATTTGTGTTTGTGGTAAAGATCGTATAACGTGTTATATGGAAGCTCATGTAGGAATGCATATGTTGCTGGAGTAATGTGATTG